ACAATTCGCTTGCCCTTCTTTTATGTGCCGTGTCCATTCAAGACGTAGGTGATCATGGCTCTTCACTTCACCCCATCCCTTCTAGTTCTCAATATGTTTTGTCATTTAGCTACTTCTCCCATGCCCTGTTATACAATCCCTCTAAGTATGTCACGTGTTTCATTACCTTGTCTCCCTTTCCCTCTATCCGCCTTGTGAGCATCAGATTCTCCAAACCTTCCTTTATCATTACATGTCCCAGAAATTTCAGCTGCTTCTTACTGATGTTAAGTATAAGCTTCCTCTTCGTTTGCATCCTCTCCGGGACGTCATCGTTGCTCACGTTCGGTCTAAGGTATCCTTAGCATCCTTCTGTAGAACCACACCTACGTTGCCTCGAGTCGATCTTTGAGGAGACCGTCCAGTATTCACTGTCGTAAAGGAGGACAGATATCACGTATCTCTCATCTTTTACAGCGGCGATTGTTGGAAGAGCACCGACTATGACGCGGCTTTTGAAAATAAAACAAATCCAGGCCAAAAAGATTTTTTTTAATAATAATAATAATATAGCTGAGTGGAGGCGTACGAGCACCGAAGTTAAGCAACGTTGTCTCTGATCAGTACCTAGATGGATAACAGCTTGAGAATACCAGGTGCCGGGTGGATGTGCGGGTGGAGTTATAGGTAACATCTGGGAACTGGTGAGCCGAGTTCTAATTCCAATCGTGTCCGATATATCCACATACGCATAAATGACATTGGGAAACGTATGCATCCACTGCTCTCCACTCCCCAAACTATGGGTTAAATATCACGATTTGTATCAGAAAAATGATTATTATCGTCGAAAAATACTTACAATCTAATAGTTTCTGGCTTTAAATAACCTGTAAAAGTTTGATAAGACGTAAAAAAAAATTTAAAAAAATCAATTTTAATTGATTTGGATGTGTTAATAAATTTGGTTGTAGTGAATTAAAATGTTAAATATCCCGTTCCCTGGAATGGATATGCTGGCTTTAAATAGTCCGTTATGTCCTCTTTGCGTTGACATAATTGGAATCTCTGATCAGGTGCCGGGGTAAAAGTGAGAATCCTGGTTCGTGTGTGAGCGGACCTAGTTACTCGTCCTGAAGTTATTTCTAACTGGATCTTAACTGCAAAGTTATCGCTGCATTTATCAAAGGTGTTCGTCATATCACTCACATATGGCCATGAGGCGTATGCCTTGTATATCCTTATCAGATTGAGGGGCCATGAAAGTTATATAGGCCCTTCGTACAGTTTGTATCCAAGTTTTACTTTGAGATTCTACTGAACAGAAAACCAAAGATGATAATAATAATGATTGGGATATGCCAATTCAAACTAACAGAGAAATAAATGGCAAGAGACCTGATATTATCATAAAATACAAGAAATTCAAGAAGTGTATGTTTTTCAAGGGTGACAATTTGAATTTAATAAAACCTAAACATATGAAAGACGAGTATAGCGATGTGAAAAGACATGGGCCACTCTACTAATTCTTTTATTTTTAGGAAGAAGATTCAAATTGATTATGTGACATCAAAGGTAACAAAGACAATTTGGGTACAAACTTACGCAAGTTTGTATGGTAAGATAAGAAACAAAGCCTAATCGTTTATGAATCTAACATGTTTCACTTTTATTAAAACTTCATCAGATAATAAATATGGAGGAGAAATTGTTTATTGTTATAAAAAGCGACGGTTAGAATTGTAATAAAGATTAACCTAATGAAAGTGAATTTATATATTTTTTCTTCTTAAAAGTTGATGGCAAAAGTAATAAACACTATTTATTTATTAAATTGTTTTTTGGTAGGTGATGTAATAAATATGCATACATCTGGGTTCCCCCTCACAGTAATATGATTGGCTGGTGTCAGCCATAAATACAGACTGATGTAGAGGTACATGTGGACCACTATTGACTACGCCTATTGCTTACGCCTAATGCCTACCACTACGACGAGGACCAGGCCATTACGGTTACCTGCTTAGATTGTCCTACTCGGTTACAGTAGTCCAAAACCACTTTGCTACTTCGAACAAATATATCCCTTTCCGGGACATATCAGTAGGGTTGGCAAAACATCGGCTAATTGCCAGTTGATTCAAACTTTATAAAATGGTAAATTTTCCTTATAGCTGTCTCAGACATTTTAATAATCAAGTAAATGTTCATTATTTACATTATTCGGGCTATTGTCACATCTTTGTCGCCATATTTATCACAACGCTCCGGCCTTCTTCAGGTGGTTGGAATGTCGAATTGAACCCTTTATTTCGCTCACTGGGGTAGACTGTTCTAGGTCCACGTGCCATGTTTGATGGATGTCAGTTATCAGTTATCTCCTCAAGGACACATGGCGCGTTGGTTAGATCCAGTGACAGGACCCAAAGAGCGTGAGTTCAATACCCGGTTAAGGCAGCGAAGAACTTGGAGAGGGGAATTAACAGGAGATAACTGACACCCATTAGACATGGCACGTTGAACTAGAACAGTCTACCCCAGCGAGCGAAATAAAGGGTTCCGTTGGATATTCCAACCACCTGAAGAAGGCCAAAGCGTACAACGGCCGAAACGTTGTGATAAATATGGCAACAATGATGAGGACAAATTGTCTGAACAATGTAAATACTGATACAAGATGGTCAAATGTTTCTGGATATTTATCACAGAAGGCAGTGAAAAACTTTCAGAGGGAAAATAGCAGGAGATAACTGATTAACCATCCGCAGTAATTATGAGTAACTATGTCCTTTGAGTTTCAGATTCTCCGAGCCTTCTTTCTTCCCCGTGTGTCCCAGAAATTTCAACTCGCTCTTACCGGTCCTAACAACCGTTTTTCGCCCATTTTTCTTAAAACATCTTCATTTTTCATGTTCCGCCTACAATATCCTCACCATCCTATATATATATATATATATATATATATATATATATATATATATATATATATATATATATCTTCTGATCTATATATTTTAAAGTTATTTTTAAACCCCTTTTTATTCCTCTTTTAATTTTAAAATAATATTTCATTCTTCACATAACCCCAAATTAATGTCATAACGTTAAGATCCGGGTTTAATTTATGAAACTTCTTCCCTTTAAGACAAGTAACTTCCACCCTCCCCTGAGCAATGTCTCGTACCTTTCGTCTGACTGAAACATTGAAACAGATAAATTTTGTATGCAGTTTTTCGACAGGATGTTATATATATATATATATATATATATATATATATATATATATATATATATATAACCACGTATCTTGTTTCAAGACTCTTCTTCATCTGTGACATGGGTGGCCAAATTTGCTTGTCAGAGCCACATACGATAAAGCACAGATATCGGAGAGCCTCAAGATATGGATAAAATTTACAGATTTGTTTTTGTTATATACATATATGACCACTCTCACTCATCCCCCCCGCTATCTGGTCACCCCTGCCTTATTCGAACATAGATTAAGTCGTAATAAACGTTTTTTATTAACACTACCGCCTCATAATGGATCTATTCCATAGTTAGTGTTGTAGAGTAGTTTTCACAGAGGAGGCTTGTATTTTACTAAGTCGGTCCTAAATTAGGTTCAACGTACAAAACGTTAGGAACTTGAAATAATAGTTAATGACGCAGCAATCTAGTTGTGGTGGTTGATACTTTAATGTCCGACATCGACTGACTCACTCAACTCCACTGAGCCCAACTGGCGACTGCTACTACTACTTATTATGTGTGGGAGAGTCTATTAATATTCCATAGACCAGGCTTTATATTAACGTAACCCTGTACCTCGAGTGGCCTTTGAGATTTGTACAGGGTGTACCTTACTTTAAAGATACATGGACGAGGATATTAATTAATATTATAAAAAATAGATATACATTTTTGTTACATAGACATTAAAATAAAACTTACGTTTTAGTCCAATGGGGTCTCAATTCATATCCAGTCAATAATTATAAAATTTGAAATGTTTCTTATTTACTTTTTAGATTAAATGTAATGAAAAAAGGAGCCCAAACAATATCTCCACCAGCCGCATTTTTGATTAGTAAACATAGTTTTTACTTAATAACAATTAATCAATTAATCAATCAATTTCTCAACCCGAGCTGTTAACAATTACTCTACCATGACTTATAAAGTTAGATTAAGTCGTAAAAACGTTTTCTAATAACACTACGGCCTTATAATGGATTTATTTCATAGTTAGGTATTCCTAATATTCCATAGACCAGGCTTTATGTTAACGTAACCCTGTACCTCGAGTGGTCCTTGAACCTTGTACAGGGTGTAGCTTACTCTAAAGATACATGGACGAGGATATGAATTAATATTATATTTATAGCCAGTGAATAATTATAAAGTTTGAAATGTTTCTTATTTACGTTTTATATAAACTGTGGTGAAAAAAGGAGCCCAACCAATATATTTGCCGGAGCTGTATATCAAAGAGCCATATTGGCCCCCCCCGATTTATGAGATTGACAAGCATTCATTTTCCTATAGGGAGTTTATGTATCAGTTCAGCAAACTTTTTTTATTAACAAAATTATCCAGTTTTTTGAATATTTTGCTAGATGACCGCTTCGGAATAGCAGATGATGTAAGCTTGGATATGTAGATGAGGTAATGGATAATGGCTTGGAATTGTTAATCGGAGAGCCGAGTTCAATTCCAGTTGTGTTTGTTATACTTACGCGCAAATACTCTTCTGAAAGGGATAGATAGTGTTGAAGCTTGACTAATGCATGGAATAATAATGCAACACAAAATGTACTTAGAACAAAATGTATTGAAACAAGAAAGTGTACACAATATTTACATATAGTCTTTTGTATATTCCTGGTAAGACCGTTCCTGGAGAATGTGTTGACTGAGTCGCAGTCGGGCAGAGTCTCTGGTTGAATCTCTTGATTCCTCCTTCTCTTCCCGGTACCAACCATATTTATATGGTCGGTACTCCACTATGCAAATTAGGTGGATCCTACCACAACAGATAGATAGATAGATACGAATTGACTTAGAGAGAATAGAACTCTATGAGATAGATAGATAGATAGATAGATAGATAGATAGATAGATAGATATTGAAAGCGATAGATAGATATTGAAGATAGATAGATAGATAGATAGATAGATATTGAAAGCGATAGATAGATAGATAGATAGATATTGAAAGCGTGAATTAGATAGATAGATAGATAGATAGATAGTCTACAGTCTACCCGATGAGCAAAGTAAAGGGTTCAGTTCGAAATTTCAACCACCTGAAGAAGGCCAGAGCGTACAACGGTCGAAACGTTGTATTACATATGGCGACAAAGATGAGGACAATAGTCCGAATAATGTAAATAATGTACATATACCTCATCTTATAAATATAGACACAAAATATTATGTCTTTGTACAAACGTTTTTTTTGTCTACGTTGTATTACTGAATAAATACGCTGTATTATAGAATAAAAAAGCTGGGAGTTGGGTCTTAATCGAAAACTTCTTTTTCTATACCTAGCTAATCAAATTTCTCTTTAACTCATCTTTCATAGTTTTTTTTCTCCTGCTGTGGCCTGGTATTGAACTCACAACTCTTTTCGGTCTAGTCACTGGATTCAACCAACGTCTTCGTCCACTGGGCCATGTCTCTTTGATGATAAAATTTGGATAATTTGAGTCAAAGGAAAATAACAGAGACACCCGGAAGAGGCATGACACGTGTAACTAGAACACTCTACCCCGGTGGACGAAATAAAGAGTTCGGTTCGAAATTCCATACACATGAAGAAGGCCGGAACGTACAACGCTTGAAAAGTTGTGAATATGGCAATGAAGATAAGGATAAGATTACGAATAACGTAAATAATGCAAGTAAAATATTTTTCTATTTCCTTTCGTTTTACCGCTTCACGATGTTCTTTAAGTCTTAGCTTAAGGAGGCGACCTTTTTCTCTTTTGTATTTCTTAACACAGCTGCACGGGATGGCGTACAAACAGTTCTTAGTCATGTTTTCTTGTATGGTGGGCGGATCTTACCTGGAAGAAGGGCCTGCGAAGAGTTCAATATATTTTTTGAAGATTGTCCTGGTGTTTTATGGACCACAGATCCTTTGTATTTTCTCCGATAATCCCTTTACATAGGGTAGGCTGACTGAAGAGGCATGGCACGCGGAACTAGATCAATCCACCCAGGCGGACGAAATAAAGGTTTCGGTTCGAAATTCTAATCAGGTGAAGAAGGCTGGAGCGTACAACGGCCGAAACGTTGTTAATATGGCTGTGAAAATGAGGATAACAGTCCGAGGAATATAAATAATGCAAGTAAAGTATTTATTTTTCGTTCTTAAATGACCAAAAGGGGTTGATATGGTGCTTAATAGTTTTTTTCTTAGTTTTTGAAAGGCCTCCTTTCGCAATTCCAATGTGTTTTCTGATTTCTAGTATCGCATTTTCACATCGTCTGTTATAAAACTTCCATTCCTCCGAAATATGTCATCGGTTTTTGGTCTCAGTAAGGGACGAGAAGCGAGAAATGTCTGGAGGCACTAAGGGGAAGGATCTTAGTTTTGGGGGAGTCAGATTTAATATTTTACATTAACATCAACCCCACATAAAAAGAGAAAATCAATCTGAAAGCGAGTAAACAAATAATATGATATAAAAGAAATGGAATAAAGTATATATTATCTCTTATCCTTGCTAAATGACCTTTTTTTATTTAGTTTTTTTTTTCATTTCCATCAAGTCATTTTTTTTGTAATGATACCTTAAAGCAGTCTCTAGAAAATAGCATATTTTTTTAAATGTACGCCTTAATGTACAAACAGATATACACAGGCACTCACGTATACATACACGCACATAAGTAGGTACACATAGAAATAACTGCACATTAAATGAAGACCACCACATTCACACACAAAAACATATATATGCAAGCATAGATAGATAGATAGATAGATAGATAGATGAAAAGATAGATAGATAGAATAGATAGATAGAATAGATAAATAGATGAAAAGGTCCAGATAGATAGATAGATAGATAGAAAGAAGATAAATAGATGAAAAGGTCCAGATAGATAGATAGATAGATAGATGAAAAAAAAGGTCCAGATAGATAGATAGATAGAAGAGAAAGATAAAGAATAGATGAAAAGGTCCAGATAGATAGATAGATAGATGAAAAGGTCCAGATAGATAGATAGATAGATAGATAGATAGATAGATAGATAGATGAAAAGGTCCAGATAGATAGATAGATAGATAGATAGATGAAAAGGTCCAGATAGATAGATAGATAGACAGAAAGATAAATAGATGAAAAGGTCCAGATAGATAGATAGATAGATAGATAGATAGATAGATAGATAGATGAAAAGGTCCAGATAGATAGATAGATAGACAGAAAGATAAATAGATGAAAAGGTCCAGATAGATAGATAGATAGATAGATAGATAGGGATAGACTTATAAATACAACATATATATATAGAGATAAATAGACATGAACGGACTGTTGTAGATAGATAAAATAAAACACACACACACAATATATATATATATATATATATATATATATATATATAAAAGAGATTCATATATTTAACAACAAAATAAATAGATAGCAACAATTTATATATATATATATATATATATATATATATAGACAGACTTACACACACATATATATATAGAGAGAGAGATGATTGAAGTAGAGAAGAGGCGTTGATAGATAGCAATAGAGTCAGATAGATAGATGATAGATAGATAGATAGATAGAAGATATGAATAGATTTATAGATACAACATATATAGATGGATATAGATAAAAACAAACACACACACATACATATATATATATATATATATATATATATATATATATATATATATATATGTGTGTGTGTGTGTGTATGTGTGTATTCTATGTGTGTGTGTGTGTGTGTGTTTGTGTATTTAATTATTTATTTGAAAATTGTACTATCCGGGATTTTCCCACCAGTCGATTATAGGTATTAATATATATATATATATATATATATATATATATATATATATATATATATATATATATAGAGAGAGAGAGAGAGAGAGAGAATTGAATTTGGTAGATAGATATAACAGAGTTGATAGAGAGATAGACAGATAGATATGTGTTTCTAGATAAATAGGTAGGTGTGAAGAGACTGATGTAGATCGATAAAGACACACATATATATAGAGTGAGAGAGACAAAAAGACACAGAGAGAGAGAGAGAGAGAGAGCTAATGCAGAGACTGAGATAGATAGATAGATAGATAGATAGATAGATAGATAGATAGATAGAAACAAACTGGGATAGATAGATAGATAGATACGAACAGGCCGATATATATATATATATATATATATATATATATATATAGATAGATAGATAGATAGATAGATATCATAATCTGAACTTGCATCAAGAATTAAAATGAATAAACAAAATGAAACAGAAAAAAATGATAGAAAATCTAAACTCTTTTCTTTTCTATGACGCTTTTCTGTTTTGGATCAAAGTGTATTATCTGTACATTCGGCGCCCTTCTGACCTGAAATCAATTCGGATTTCCGACCGAGAAACCCTAATAATTAATTCCCCGCGATATGATTTCTCGAGTCCAATCCTTAAAAATTCTTTTCAGTAGCACTAGCGGCAAGCACTTGCAATATAATGCCGTGGACATTTCTCACATCAGGCTGTAAATCGTCATTATTGAATTGACACTCTTTGCCAATACTTGAACGACCTCCTCGACATTTCCAACCTGCCTTCTAGCCTGGCCTCCCCTTTCTCATCTTTTGCCAATGACAATCCCGTCGCGAAAAGCCGACTCCTTGTTCCCCTACCCGCGGGTTAAAGACATAAGATATTCCCTACATTGAAATTGGTATCTTTCTAATTTTATCAATAATTATATAGTCAGGTAACATCAGTAAGCAGTTGGTGAGTGGCAATTTTACAGTTGCTTCGCCTTCATTAGCGAAAAACTCGCCCAAGAACGGTAATCTAAGGCTTCATTAATTTTAATAATTCCTGCCTTCTTTCCCTCCGACAGTCCAATTAGATAGTTCTGTAATGACAGCCTTATGGTGGGAATTAAGTCGCGACATCTCGCTATAGCCGTACAAGAAAAGTGATTACAAAATTCAGGTAGAGTTCTGGTTCATTCTCTTTTTCTCCGTGCGTTAAATGGTTGCCCTACATTTAAAAGCTAACCATTCCAGTAATCAAAATATCAGAGCGGTGTGGGATGGGTAATCTTGCGAGAATGGGGAAAATATCTCCCTCAAGAGAGGGGAACAGTTGACTTGCTTGCTTTCCTTTTGTTAAATGTTAGATTTAAAGAATACTTACTTTTTTTGTTTGTTTGTTTTGTTTTTTTTTCTTTTTTTTTAAATTTCCAAAAATATTAACTCTAGAGCAGCAGTAACGACCCACATTTTAATTCGTCATCAGCCCCACCCGAGCTCATTATCCATACAATTAGGGTAGCGTAAAGTTTATCGGCGCTCAATGAGTAAAAATGACGTGCCGGGTTCAAATTCGGATCTGGCATTACCATCTTTTCTCTCCCTGGGTTAAATAGTAGAGTAGACTGAACTCCCTAGCCTTGAATGGTAGCCAGTCTGGTTGGATGATGACTCTGAATTCACTAACCGTGAAGAAAGCAGGGGAAACCACTCCGGTATCTTTCCCAATAATTAATACTAATACACGCGTACTTTACAAAGTAAAAAAGCTGTGGAGAGTTGTGATCATTAGCGTACAGAGGAGATATGACGTTTCTAAAAAATATAAATATATATACAAATAGTGTAACACTGCTTGGCGTTGAGTAGGGAATCGGAGTGCTAAGTTCAAATTCTGGTTTAGTTTTGTGCATTCACTTTCACACATATACCCGATGGATCGTTTCTCCACATAGCTATGGGTTAAATAATATGTT